AAAAAAAAAAAAAAAAAAAAAAAAAAAAAAAAAAAAAAAAAAAAAAACTTCAACCCTAGTAATAAAAAAAAAAAAATCAAAAGTTTTGTTAAAAAAAGAAAATAGATTTTATATTACTTTTTTTTAAAAAAAATTAATAACTAAAAAACCACCTTTAATACCCTTTATCATTAGTATATATGCCACGTTTTCAAAATTATTCATAAATTTTCAAAAGTAAAATGAATATTCTTAAAATTTTAGATTTTTTTATAAAGTTTAGAAATGATGTGATCAATTTCCGTTCATATATTAATATTTTAAATTTTTTTCTATGAAATTATTTTACTCGACGCTTAAGTCTATTTTTGAAAATTCAAGAAAGTTTCAATATCAATTACTTTGGATTTTATCTCGAAAATACTCATAAAATTTTAAACGTTACAGTATCAAATTTAAACTTAAAAAAAAATCTTAAAATATCTTTAAACTTAATTTTTTTTTTTAAATACTGATAGTTTTTTTTACAAACGGTTAATAAATTATCTCAAAAATACCCTTTAGTTTCAAAATTACCTTTTAACTTTCTAAATTTTTTTATAGAAAAATTACTATTAATACTAAGTTAAAAAAATACTATAAATTTTTAAAAGTAATATTAAAAAATTTGGGTATAACCTATTATCAATAAGCGATTTTCCTCTGTATATTAAAATATACGAATTTATTTTATTTTATTTTTTTTATAAAAGTAAAAGAGAATATATTTTTAAAATTTTCAAAAAAAAATCAAGATATTAATAAATTCTTAAAATTTTCAAAAAAAAAAAAAAATCAAGATATTAATAAATTCTTCAAATTTTCAAAAAAATTGAAGATATTAATAGATACTTAAAATTTAAAAGATATTTTTGAAATACTATTAAAATTTTAAAATTTAAAAGTATATTTAAAACAATTTTAAGTAAAAATATTATTGAAACTTCAAAAAAAAAAATTAAATTTTTTTGAGAAAAAGGAAGAACGAAAGTTGCTTCGGTTCTCGCGAACCTAGCGCGGTGGGGAATAGTGTCGCGCTTCTGCGGAATTTCGACGATCATTTCGCGTCGGCCTTGCTTCCATAACACATCAATTCTCCCAATACATTTCCGATTTCCCAACTCCTTCTTCTCTCTCTGATCCACAGAAGCAACAACGATGGCGGATACTGTAGACGACGATTACCTTCAAGACTTGATCACCGAGCAACGTTCCGAAATCCTTGCCGCCAAAACCCTCATCTCCGACCTCGATTTGGCCTACCAACTTCAAATGCAGGAGGCAATGAACGCCTCTCTTGGTTCGAAATCCTCGTCCAAAGGACCTGCAACCGTTAACAGGGTCGTCCCTGTCTTGGAGTCTGAAGAAACTGGCGCGTTGGACTTCGCGACCACGCTTTTGCTTGA